GAAGAGGGACTGGCCAGGGAAGACAGGGAGGAGAAGTTGGGGAGAATCAACCAACCAGCCTGCTAGGAGGGGGCAGGGGAGCGAATCAGCCAGCAGGGAGCAGGACTGACCCAGGCTATGCAGAACTCAGGGCGTTCCCGTCCCGTGTGAGTCAGTCCGGCTGCGGCTCCACCATGCGCTTGACCAGCACGCAGGAGCATGGACCAGGCTGCCCCTCCTCCTCACACGCAACCAGGACTCCCAGTACTAATCGTGCCCCGCCTCCCAGTCACTCCCCCCACCCTCCGGCCAGCACCCAGCCAGAAAAACCAGGAAATACCGGAAATTGCACGTGTCCAGTATTTTCTGGATTTTTTTTACTGGACAGAGGGCCTGAAAACCAGACACCTGGCAACCCTACCAATATACAATCATGACGCCATTTGTCCTGATATTCAGGTGAAGAGGCAGGAGGCAGTTGGGTGAGACAGTGAGTGGGAGGGAGAGCAAGACAGTAAGTGCAGTGCAGGAGAGCAAGGAGACTAGAGGGGAGGTTGATTAGTCCCAGGCCTCACACTCCCCTAAGGGCAGCCTTGCTTAGCAGAAACAAATTGCATTGTAATTGGGAGTCAATGTGAACTGGTGGATAATTTGGACGTGGGACTTAAGAGCCCCCAGTATTATTCCTGCTTCTGCCTCAGACCCTGATGACTTCTGGGCCTCAGTTTCTCCATCTGTAAAACAGGGAATAATGATACTGACGTTCTTTGTAAAGACATTTGACCTCTACTGATTGTAGGCTGACCTTCTGGGGATGATGATCAATAATGTAAATATTTTAATTACACAAACTGTATGTTTATTTGATAATGTTAAATGATATTTCTAGGCTACTCATGAAAAAAAAAATGGAGTCTGTATACTAGGTGACCTCAGGACCGGGGGAGGGGGTCTCTCAACCTCAGAGTGGCAAACAAGAATCGGAACAGACAAAGAACAAAGATGATACAAATATTGGAACTACAATAACATAGTAGAAAGGTGCAATTCCACTTATAATAATTCCAATAATTACCTTTAAATTGAACTTAATTCTTTTAATTCGGGCAGTAAATCTGATATAATTTTAGAAAAGAAAAAATGTAATTGGATGAGTTAGAACTATTCAGTGTTCACAAATTTTCTGAGCTAAGTGTCAAAAACATGGATTTACACAAAAAACTCATTTTCAAGTGATTGAGAGCTTTGTGGATGCTATTATCCAGAGTTTTAGTGGCCAAATGCAAAGATACACAATTCCCAAATAAAGACCCTAATGTTGTAACTGGATCTATATTTAATGACCCCTTCACCTGCACTGAGTCTCACAGACTTCAATTTAGTCTCCACTGTACAAGATACAAACCACAGAGAGTTTGAGCCAGAATTACAATATGAACTATTTATTACCGGAAAATAAGATTCAAATTGTAGTATGTTAAACCAACAATTTCCAATGAAACCCTTTAAAGCTGTAAAAGTGTGATATTGAAGAGAAACATTAAAAAGTAATACCCCAGTAACCAAGAAAAAAAAACCACAAATATTTAAACATCACCAAAGAGCTTATTTTTTACAAGTTATAATTCAGAGACTAAACAACACGACAGGAGCATGCAAGTTCAGTTTAGAGAAAGAAATATCTGAACTGTCCTTACAGCATTACAAACATCAATAACTAAACCTAGGAAATGATAATGTAAGAAAGATCATGGGAATCCAGCCTTACTCTCCTTTGAATGCAAAAAGCCAGGACAACTCAGAGTTTAAATGGGCCTTAGATTTAAGAATCTTACTTTTCATTTCAAGTGCAATAGAGAACGTTTCCAGATGTGAAAGTTTGTAACCAATTCACATATTTCCTCTTCTTATGCACAATGATTAATTTCACATCTTAGTTCAGAAATGCCACTGTTGGAACAAAACACAAGTCATTTTATAAACTTTCTCTTTTGTAAATACTTAAGATTTATGCTGCCAGCAATTTCCCAACCTAATAAATTCAGACTAGGAGGGCACCATTCAACATCTATGGCTGCCAATCAGTAAAATGCATGCCCTACAACTGTTCCTTATGGCATTTTCCCTTTGTACTGCTGTTAGCTAAGCATACAAATAATAACAGTACAAGTTGTATCTCTAAACTGGAGCTCTCTGGACAGGCAATAGTTCCAGTATCAGAGACCCGGCACACTGCAGGGGCTGGGAGTGGGGTTGGGAGCCTGGCACTATGCAGGGTGGGGGCAAAACACAGTCCAGCTGGGTTGCGAGGGAAGCCAAGAAGCCTGTGTAGGAGCAGACAGGGAGGTTCAGAGGGTCCAGAAATGACCTTCTCTGTTCAGGAAGACTCCCTCATCCAGGATCAGTCAGGTCCCAAGAGTGCCAGAATAAGGAGCTCCAACCTGTAGTAGTAGACTGATTAAATGCTTGTCACTGAATTCTGACAAGACCTACATTTAATCTAAATCTATTCAAGACAGTAGGTTGGAAGTAAGGATATTAGTGTGTAGTCGTTCACATGATTAGCCAATAAGCCTGGACTCATTGAATTAATTCTCATGACGACACGTACCCACCCCCTTGCTGCCTCTGTATCAGAGGCAACAAGGGCGGGAAAGGGGGTTAGGAGCCAGCTTAAAAGCCTTTGATAGAAAGGCAGCGGCACAGAAGATGAGGGGTCAGGCAGGAGCCAATACACGCAGGAAGCCAGCTTTCAAGATGGCTCTCTGCACATACAGGCTCCTACAGAGCCGCCTACAGAGGCGGCAGCACAAGCTGAAGGAACTGGTGGGAGCCGATACGCATGCTGGCTCCCGGGTAGCTGTCTGCCCCCCCACCACCACCACCTCTGCCTCCCACAGAGGCAGCCGCATGGGGGGAGGCTGGCAGGAGACAGTACACACGTGAAACCAGCTTAAAAGCTGGCTCCCCATGAGCACTCGCTCCCGCCTGCCCCTGTGTATGAAAACGTGTAACTGCTTAAAAATTCAGTGGTTACACATTTACAAAATAACATGTTTGCCAACATTCCTACACCCTCCAACTAGGAGAGAGCAGAATTTGACTCCTCAAATTTAAATGTAATGCAGAATGAGATCTGTGAAGCTTGGATACATATGAAAAAGGAAAAGTGAAAATATGAGATGTATTCATAATTGTCCTATATCCTTCCAATTTACTTCAGTGCAGACTCCCATTCAATTTAATGGGATCATTTAAATGTAATGGAAATCGGCCTGTGTTTATTTTGAAATGCTGCTGATGGAGCAGTATGCTAGAAAGTTTATATACATACTATAGATAAATTCAGGACTACTGCTTAATATTCAAAGTGTTACAATTCAGCAGACTGCACACTTCAAGTGAGGAAGCTAACTGAGGCATCAGAGCTCTGTGGTAATAGAAGTAAATATTAATAAAAATGCTATTACAGTGAATTCAGATAAAGCAAAGCAACTCAGAGAAACAGAACGTTGAAACTATACAAGATTAAGGCCTAACAAAGCACAAATTGCAAAACCAGTTATAAGAAGTCTTTGCTTATTGCAAAGTTTTTCAGTGGGAAGTGGTGACTTCAGTACAAAAGAGATAGTTATTGTTTAGTTATTTGTATTACTGTAGTACCTAAGAGTCCTGATCACAGACAGTCGTCCATTGTGCTAAGCACCGTACAACCACTGAACAAAAAGACAGCTCACTGTATATTCCTTCAGCATGTAGACACAGCAAAATATTTAAAAGGCTCATAGTGCTATATGGTATTGTTTCATAGTGGACCATTTACTTATCTGTATATCTGAAGCATACAAATGACAACCTCAGCACTTCCATGTGAACAACATGAAAACAGTGTATTAGATACAACAAAATAAACATGTAATAATGATGTGAATAAGGCTATTTACCTGGGACAACTGAAAACAACATCTCTTATGATGAAAAAAGTGTATTTAATGTTAAGAATCCAATTTTCTGCCATGTGAAAAGCACATCAAACATTCCATAGAGCAAAGTAAACGAGGCAGAGAAGAGAAGAAAGAAGAGTTCATATGAGCTCTATTTCTACTCTAAATGGAAAAGAAATCAGTAAATACTATCAGTATGAAAATGAGAGTTCTCCAACAAGTCATGTAGGAAAATGTCAAACTAGAAGAAAAGTGCTGAACTATGGAGATAAAAAACAAGTATGAAATAAATTTTTGTTAATACACTATTGTGTTGTTACTCTACTTTGATTACAATACAGTATAGGACAATATTGCCTAATAAGAAAATCTATCCACAATATAGTGATTTATAAATTACTTGTACACTCTTTGTGCTGTCTTCTTGACTCTCCGTTTTGTAAACATGTTTTCATAATGGGAAACAATCTGTCACTATTACAGATGGTCATTGTATAAAATAGTCTTGACCCATGTCAACCACCAAGGGGTTGTCAAAGAGGAGGTGGATTTCATGTTAATTAAATATGTCTTTCAGTATCCTAACAATGAATATCTTATTGAGTAATACAGAATCAAAATATAAGGAACAGGAATTCATTTGTAACTTCTCAGAGCAGGTCACTGTGGGCCAGGTCCTACTCTCACATCAGTTACTCATATAAATCATCCCACTGACTATTCAGATGAGCAAAAACCTGATAGTATCATGTTCAATAAATTGTGGTTACTTATACATGCTGTGTTGCTCTAACTAAACATGCAATAGTGGTAACCAAATGATTACGGTGACCATATTTCCCTATGCTAAACATGGGACACCCAGTAAAGTACAGGCAGTCCCCGGGTTACGTGGATCCGACTTACGTTGGATCCCTACTTACGAACGGGGCCTTTCTCGCCAGCAGACCAGGGAGATGCGGAGCAAAGCCACGGAGGACGTGGGCGGTGGGACCGCAGCGCGTCTCGGCGGGCCTGCCGCCCTGTCTCCCTGGTCTGCTGAGGGGGGTCCTCCGTGGCGAGAAAAGCCTGGTCTGCTGGGGATGGAGGGGGACACAGCTAGTGCGCCCCCCTCCCCCAGCAAGCCAGGCTTTGCTCCCCACTGGTCAGTTTCAG